CAACGCAACAAAAGATATTATAAAAAAATATAGCATAATTCTATTTATGGAAATATTGTTAAATGCCCAAACACAGGCCTCAAATGATTTATTATTTGTATAAAGCAACCGTATAAAATTGTAACAAAAAATCTCTGTTAATTAATCNACGCAACAAAAGATATTATAAAAAAATATAGCATAATTCTATTTATGGAAATATTGTTAAATGCCCAAACACAGGCCTCAAATGATTTATTATTTGTATAAAGCAACCGTATAAAATTGTAACAAAAAATCTCTGTTAATTAATCTCTCTGAAAACATACTATTTTCTGAACAAATATTCAACACACTTAAAATTCATTTTTCGTTTAAAGTATTAAATACTTTTCGCAACAAAACTGTCGATATAATTTATATTATATAACACTAGACGCTAACATATAATATCAAAGATGTGCTGGTACCAGAATCGTCTCTTCTTTTAATTCTAGAAGACTGAGTAATATCATGTTCAATCTCCATTGTCTATAAAAACTGTATGACAGTCTCCTACATGCATATGCAGCAAGTGAAACTTTGTGTTTTGTTAAATGACTTAATATTATATATAAAAGCTACTTAAGAAAGTCGACTACAACCACAGTTACTTGTATCACCGATTGCTGTTGTCTTTCCATTTATCGAAGTTGTATTTGTTTCATATCTAGGTAGTTCCTTGCTACGTGCTTGCTAAAATATTCATTGACCTAGATATAATTTAATCCAAGGGCAAGTGTTTCTTAATAAAAGATTGAATCGATCTGTTGCTTAATTACCTCCATAAGTTCGGCTGCAATTTCCATGAATAATCGTTCTACATTTTCTGCTTCTTTGGCAGAAGTTTCCAAAAAGTACATTCCCTGTCTTTGTGCAAAGTCTTCTCCTACGTGCGTCGGTATTTCTCTATCTTCCCGATCAATTTTATTACCTGTTAATTAATTGTAAACAATAAAAATAACAATAATAACAACATTTTGTTACAGAAAAAAACATGAGACATACCTACTAATATCCTAAGAACTTTGTTACTCGCATACTCTTCAATTTCCCTCAACCAATCTGGTAAACAATCGAATGTAGGCTGACAAGAGATGTCATATACTAAAATTAAAGCATGAGCTGATCTATAATAACTTTGAGTTATCGAACGAAACCTTTCTTGTCCGGCAGTGTCCCAGATTTGAAGCTGAAAGAAAGTTTACAATGATTATACGTAGCATGAACTCGTTTGAAAAAGCATATGCTGCTACATTGGATGAATCATAATGTATTACATCATACGCATACCTTAACTTTCTCATTTTCAACTTCTACGGTCTTAATCATAAAATCAACACCTATTGTTGCACCTTGACCAGGTGGAAATAATCCCTGTAAACAATTTTTTCAGAGCTGACAGTACATTGGAAAAGAAATATACGAAACTTATGAAAAATTAATAAAAAAAATTCAATAACGATATAAAATGATTTATCAAGTGATCTTACATCAATTCAGGATATAAATAACGCATTGAAATATTGTAAAACTAATGAGAACCATATGTATACCTGGGTAAATCTGCGCACGAGGCAAGTCTTGCCGACGCCCGCGTTTCCCACAAGAACAACTTTAAAGAGAAATTTATAATCCTCCATCACACATCCGCACCGTGTTACGGTCAGGAGTCCTGTGTAAAACTAACGATGCATTTGGTGAGCACAGCACAAGTGCAATTCTACACGATCGCTCACCGTTCAGGGCGATTCGAAAACTTATGCGCGATATGCTTCGAACTAAATGTACACTTTTCTTTTCGAACGCGCCAATGAAAAATACCTATTCACGGCATTATTCCTCGTTCGTCACTTCTCCGCGGTTCACTGAACACACGGCGCTTCATTTTCACAAAGTAAAAAAAGAACACACGCTCAACAGAAATCGAGATTCGCACGCGAGATGCTTTGCCATTCTGTCAAAATAACGTTTTCTCCCGACCCCGCCATTGACTCATGACGTTGCCCCGTTTTAGAAATCATTAAAGCCCGTAAGATCACGCGTAACAAGTAGACCAATACGAGTATTATGCCATTAACGTTTCTCCCGTCTCAATAGATAATTATAATCAATTTAATAGTACGCGTAAAATAACAGTTTACGGTTTTTATCGGTTTAGTACTCATTCATACGTTAAGTTCGAATGAATTTCCAAGTTACAATATGTACATACATACATACATACATACAATATTCGATCTGTCGATGGTTGCTCGTATGTATGTACTTTATAGTGTGTTGCGAACAGAATGTTGGTAAACATGTTGCATGAATGAAAAAATTTCAATTTTCGCATTACACGTAGAATATTAACATATGCTTCCATTTCATTTGTTTGCATATTAGATTCCACGATCTAAATATATACGTAGGTTTCTTATTTACCTCATGTATGTATAATAAATTCAAGATAGATATTCTTCGATTTCTTCGTTCTATAGGTATGTATAAAATTGCAACATTTAATTGCAAATTTAATTTAAATTCTTCAAATTTTTCTGCTACATATGTTAAATGCTGTTGCAGCAACCTATGACTATAAAATGCAAATTAATTTGTCATCCTATATTCGACATTATTTTCTAATTAGTTTTAAATTTGTCTAATGTCATCTTGATTCATCGAATTAATTTTGTATTAACTAATTATTCAAATGTGTACAAACGTTTATAATACAATAAAAAAATATTGTACTGTTTGATGTACACTAACGTCTCCTTATCGTGAGCAATTTCCGCTCCTTCTTTTCGAGCGCTTTTATCCCCCCACTATTTTAATGCGCATCCAGCTCCGCGCAGATGGTTTAGAATCAGAACGAAAAATGATCGAGAGAGACAGGACGAGACAAGCGGACTCTATGTGAGAGTGTCCACACGGACGAGAAACCTACGCCATTTTGGTTTACCGTGCTTGCGGTCTCACTCTTTTCGCGCGTCTAGACGTTCCATCTGAAACACGCGGTACGATATTCGTCTTGTACTTTTCGCCCGTAAGATTCTCGACAACAAAGACCAGTATTTGCGAACGTCTTGAAACGACGTTTCTTTCTATTGGGTTGTCCGGAAAGTTCATGCCGATTTTTTAGGAAAATTAAAACGCAGCTCATTTAAATATTGGAGCCAAGCTTCACAGTACGATCGTGGATGGTTGATTTTGATTTATTTAGCATTCCTGCTAATTGTCGTAATGTTGAGCGTGGGTTATTCTCGATTTCTGTTCTAATCGTATCTTCGTCTGTGGTGGACGGCCTACCTGGGCGTTCTTGATCTTCAAGGTCGAAATTTTCAGCTTTAAACCGAGCAAACCACTTCCGCACAGTTCTTTCGGCTACAGCATCCTCGCCATAAACAGCGCATATCTTATTTGCCGCTTGTGTGGCATTTTTGCCCTTTCGGAAAAAGAAAAGCATTAAATGCCTATAATGCACTTTATTTGCCACCATATTCTAAGGCGTACGAAACTGATAAAAATTAACGGATCGCAACCAAGCTTTTTACCAAATATGGCTGAAGTTATCTTTTTTAGAATATGTACGCATGTCATTTGTTTTCAATAATTGTGATATATTCAGTCAGGTCTCTCACGCTACCTACCGAAAATCGGCACGAACTTTGTGTGAAATTTTATGTGGTCAAGAATCCTACGGGGCGAAAAGTACAAGTCAAATATGACGCCAAATGTTTCATATGGAGCACCAGGCAAACGGATNCCACTATTTTATGCTTTAGAAAGAGAACAGGAGATGATCGAGAGTGAGATAGAACGAAAACAGCGTGCTTTATAAGTAGTGTCCACACGGACAACAAACCTGGGCCATCTCACTTTACCATGCATGCGATCTCACTCTAAACCTCACTCTATGTAGAAAACATAGCAATGTAAGTGCAATATTGAGTTGCTCAATATTCTCCAGTAATGAACATGCTCTTGTACACGTAACTATGTTATCAACCAATTTTAATAAAACTCAAATTATTCTATGTTTTTCATATGACATTCTAAAGATTGTATTTTTTATTTATATCCTTCTTATTTAATGTTTACATAAGATCAAGCGCAGTGCGAATTATTCTATATTATCATTTTCAAATATTATCAAAGACATATCATTATTGTTCCGTTTTCACTTTATATTTTCAGTGTGTAGTTGACAACTGAAACCCGAACAGATCGCGTGCAACGCTTGTAGATTCTTACATATCCTATGCATGCGTAGAGACCGAAATCATCCGAGATCGCCCGAGACTGCCCGAGACCACCCGAGAACCGAGCACAGTCTCGAAGCTTTCGGGAGTCCCGAAACATTCGCGATCTCGAGATTTCGAGCAGTAAAATGTATCGGAATTCCGCTCGATCTCGCTCGAATTTCTTCATCTCGTCTCGATCCCGTAACATCGGGATCCCGCACACGCCTACTAAACCGCATAAGTTAAATATCACACCGAGTGTTTCATATGGAGCACCAGGCAAACGGATGCGCGAATAGAGTGAGATCGCAAATATGGTAAAGTGAGACAAGCTACAATGGTCGTCGGTGTGACTTGTTTCACTTGTGGTTGTGCCGATGTCGTGCTCTCTTGCTCACCCCCTACTTCCTCTCTTTGTCTAAAACCGTGAGGGCAACACTGTTCACCTGTGAAGCGTCAACCAATCAGAGGAAAGCAGTGTCTCTACCTGCTCCCACATAAATGCTTTGCCTGCGACATCGCACAGTACACTGCTCAGTACACTGAGACGCTAGGAAGTGTTAACAAAATAGTTTTTTATCGGAAAATATTCTTAGTGTAGTTAAAAATTTGGTGATCTTTTAAATTGTAATTTCTCGATACGTGTATGTGCAGAAAAATTCTTTTACGGTTGTCAAAACGCAAAAGTGTCGTTGACCAGTGTAGTTAACCGCTTGATATACGTGCGTGTTTCTAAATTAATCGCGGTAATGAGAATACGCCTAAATACTACCATTTTGCTCGGTAGCGACTTGTGCGGGACAATTGTGAAACTTCGCTACCATCAAGCAAGCTGGTTGCGCCCGAGTATGTAAGGAATCCTGTGATTGGCTGCTTCCTGAAATTCAACCGACAGAACGAGAAAACTCACCAATAACGGCGGCGCTTCTACAGTTGTAATCCCGTTAGAAGGTACAAAGGAATGGTCGCCATTTTACGTGGATATCCCGTTCGGTGTAAGCAGTGGAGTCCGCGTGATTATCGCGAAAAGTCAAAATAATAGTCGGTTCGGGATATTCCTGTTGTTCGAAATGCGTTAAAGAAGGTAAATGTTGGCCAGTGTCGCTTATGGTGTTCATGGTGGTACTCGCCGGTTGTACGTGAAGCTTGTGAAACCGAATGTCGTTCAAGTTCGCTGAACGGGCGTTCAGGAAATCCAGATGCGTGCTCATTATTCGTGTACACTTCGCTATTTGTGCTGAACTACTAGAACGTGCATGAACATTGAGACAACTGTGCGACGAGAACTAATTTTCCGAAACGTTAGAATCCTGAGGCAAACGGAAAAAAAAATCAATATGCGTCTAAAGTCTATCAATCTCTTGTGAAAAGGTTCCAGATAATATTACATAAATAGAAACAGTTAATGTGCTAATTTCCTCTTATCAATTTAGGCTGCTCGAGGTCAATGATCTCTCGTTTACACATTTCGCTAGAAACGAAATTTTGGGAATTTTCTGAATACGTGTTAATCATTTTCGGCCTATATAATTCAGTAAAAGTGTAATAATATCTTAATCGACGTAAAAAGCCAAGGAAAAGCGATGCACATATCACTTTCTCGCAGAAAATTCGTGTTCCTTAATTTCGATGTGGTGTCATGTTCATATACATGTAGTGATGACTAATGTTTATTCAGTTGTTCATTGAGTTTTACTATTGACGATATGCGAATTTAGTATTTGTATTTCACTGTATGAACATTCAACATTCGAGTAGCTTAGTGTCTGTGAATAATAAGATTTATAATTCATTTATTTTTAAGTTGTATGTACCTACGAATTAGGTTTTCTAATGACTGTATTATATCTAAAAGATGCTTAATAATTTTTCAATTGTGAATCTTCAAATTTTTAAATGACTAGTAAAGCGTTGTGAGTAAAGTGTTAAGTCTATGAATTTTTTCTTGTTAAAAGTATCTCAGAAAACCATAGCAACAGTTGCATCATAACATAGATCAATAAACTCGCGTGGCTGAATTTAAAACATCAACAAAAGATAAATTAAAGATATGTGTTCCTTTTATTTGTTTGTTTAACACTCGTTTTCTCTGTGTCATAGTGTAATTACCACTGTCCATTTGACGAAGATTTGTTGCGCTTCTCAACTGGCAACATCATGACGTCAACAAAGTCTAAGGAGATAGCGGATGAGTATATCTCATCGTTGTCCGACCTTACGATCAATAGCAAGCCATTAATTAATATGCTTACTATGCTGGCAGAGGATAATATTGAACATGCACCAGCAATTGTGCAAGCGGTTGAGAATCATCTGCAAAAGGTTTGTTATTTATTGTAATCGGTATAGAAAATATTCTTGTCTATGATAAAATTATTCTTATGCTATTTGTTTAACATAAATTATTATTGTCTATATAATTTATATGTACATATAAAATTTATTTCTTATATTTTCTTTATAAAGATCTGTAATTAATATATTTTTATTGCTAGAAGTAACCGAGCTATGTTTCATACCCTTTTTTATTTTATTATATAAAAAGTTTTGCAACTTCATAATTACGAATTATTACTTACAGGAAATACAGATACAGTTGTTTATAACTTATATTTGTGTAAAGTAAAATAAGCTCTTCCTTATTTTATTCCAGATATTACTTAAAAGATAACTAGTATAAGGCACAGAATAAATTTTGAAAAATTAAAGTATTATTCTTAGAAAGTATATTCTAAAATACAGCAGTCATGTATCCACGTATAGCATTTAATTTTTCCTCTTTTCATGTTAAATTGATTGTGGTATGAAATGATAGCTTCTATTCGTAACAGATTTAAAATTCGGATATAAATAAAATATATTTTGTTTCAATAGGTGAGAAGTGACATCAAATTACCTGTTCTATATTTGATCGATTCGATTGTGAAGAATGTAAACGGAGCATATTTAAATCTCTTCACACAAAATATTGTGAACACATTTTGTGGAGTATTCGAGAAGGTATGTTCTTTTTTTCGTATGTATCATATATCTTTTATATTACCCTGCATATGCCATATTTGTGAGAAGAAAGGAGAAATAGGATTGCGATCATAAGACTATCTTCTTATCCCCTGTGATGTTATAAGATAATTGTTTAGTCAATATTAGGTTATTGCACTATCACTTCCTTGTAATGTTGAGCATGGATACTCTCCCTTGCAAAGAAAATCTATAGGAGATACAGAAATAGTAATTTTGCATAAATAAACAGGTGGACGAAAACACACGAGCCAGCATGTGGAAGTTGAGACAAACGTGGAACGACGTTTTCCCTGCGAAGAAGTTGTTTTCCTTGGACGTACGGGTGCAAAGTATTGATCCTGCCTGGCCAATCACTGCCTCCCCTACCAACGTTTCTTCGGGATCTATTCACGTAAATCCCCGATTTTTCTCTATGGTTAGAAGAATCATATTTTATACATATTCATTTGGGCTCTTGCTATTGTTCCAATTTACGAACTTGATCGTAACCACTGAACTCAGATGTTTATTCAGCTTAAATCTAAATACTCGATGCTTTAGTATAAGTACTCTGAGAACACAGTGCCCAGATAGTATGAGCTCTAATTACTACTGTAGTTCATAGTACACTTCCAATGATGTTATTTAATCATTTTTAGCCTCAACAATCTACAACCTCGATCGTATCTCAACCAATTGTAGCACCTGTTAAGATGCCTCCGGGTGATCCTGTAACGCCGACAGAAGCTGCAATGCGAGAACAGTTACTAAAGAAACAACGAGAATTATTAGAATTACAGAAGAAAAAAATTGAATTAGAATTACTTCAGGCTAAAGCTAATTTGGAACAACAGCAACGGCAGCTGGATAAACAGGCAGGAAATTTGAAAGCCGAATTGGTAAGTGAAGATAACTCTTTACGCAAGACAAATAAAATAAGCAAGACTAATAAAACAACCTTTGTTTTGTATGTAGGTCGCGGCTACGACTCAAGTTACACCCAGCGTGGATACTACAACGCAAGGAAAATCTGTTGCACTACCTGTGCCACCTCAACCACCAAAACCAGCAGCAAAACAAGTAACTAGAGTTGGATAAGAACATTTAGAATTCTTGTCTTAAGTGTGCATTATCATTCTAAATCTTTTGTTCTCTTTATAGTTTCCAGCAGCAACTGCTTCGCTCTTGAAAAATGCGGGTACGAACAATGGTCCACGAATAGCGCCGGCTAGTAGTATAGCAGTAGCATCAGCTAAGCCTGTGTCTCGTGATCCAAGATTAAAAACTACACCAGCTCAAGATGTAGCAGTATCAAGCGTGGATCCACGGCAGCGAATAAGTACACCAACACAAAAGGATACGCGGGGTGAAGGCCAAACGCAGCTAGCGGCAAATTCAAACACTGTACTTTCAGATCAATTAAAACAGCAGTTACTTTCGAAACAGGCTGTGACTAGCACTATCAACAAGTCTCCAACAAATCTTGCCGGCTCCGATACTGCGACGATAAACGCTAGTAATAACAATAATGCTAATACGAACCTCAACAATAATAACAATAAAAATTTCAGTGGTAACGCAAATAAAGATGCTGTGTCGCATCGAACAAGTCAAAAGAAAGACCCTCGATTGTCTAGTAATAGTAGTGGTAACCTAAACAGTAATAGTTCCAAAGGTTCTCAGATTCTGTCTGAGATAATTAGTAGTTCGGCGACGTTGCCCGTCAGCTGTAGAGGAAGTGGGAGCAGCGATTCTAAGACGAAAGACTCGAAGGGCTCCAACTCACGGAGCTCTTCGTCGTCGGTGATCGACAAATCTTCCACTTCCTCCAAATCTTCGCATAGGAAAATAATTAACAAGTCGCGATCTAAGCAACCTCAGACATCTCCGAATAAGATACCGAAAATCGACAGAGACGTAAGTCCTGTTAGGTCGAAATCTCGTGAAAAGGACAGTGGAGACAGTTCACCATCCTCGCGTACCTCTCCTCAATCCTTTCAAACTTCTAAAAATCGGAAGAAGAACACCAAATCGAGAAAGCGCAGTCCAAGCCCTCCATATAGAATTCCCAGGCGTAACGATTTAAAATCGAATTCAAGTGTAAGCAGTTCCGGCGGTGTTACTGAGGAGGAGCAATCTGGTTCGCTGATAGTCTCTCCTCCTCATCCACCCGCGTTCAAAGAAATTCGTCCAAACGCTAGACAAAGAAATTACGTAAGGCGAAACAAGGACGGCAGTCTTAGCCCCGAGCAGTCTCCAGCAAATGCTGGAAACGCTCAGACCGCTGCGGAACCAACTTTGGAGTCATCCAGCAAAGACGAAGACTTGAGAGCAACGCTACCTCTTGCAGGTGCAACTGCTTCCGTGTCAGAAAAGAGTGAGTCAATAACTTGCATTCTTTCACATCTATATTTTATAAGCCTATTGCAGATAGAATATATTGACTTGATTTTACATTGCTCGATGGTGAGTTCACTTAATCTATATGTAATAGTACCCGGATCTCTTCCTAGCTTGCTTTCATTAATGCCGCACTATTTATTTGAAATATTTATAAACAAGGTGTTCAGCCCTAATATCAATTACAAGATTGAAAAGGGATGGAAAATGTAAAAATGTTTTATTTATATGTAACATGTATCTCTCTTTTCTTGAGTAAAGCACAGATTCATTATTTTACAAGACATAAAACTAGCATGCAAAGAGGATGCAAAGATCCTACGTGCTGGTAAAATTAAAACATATGTGTATAAAACCAGATAATCGCTAAACAAAATTATTTATATTGTTTTGAAATGTTTTTCAGAAGAAGACTTAGATTTACGCGTGTTGCCGCCGCCGGTTAATACCAATAAAAGGCAAAATACTGAACACATGGAACCAGCTATAACTAAGAAAACGAAGACCGAAAAATTTGACGCGTACGTATTTTTCTTTCTTTTTTTCTCCACTTTTACAAAATGGTCCACATACTTAATACAAAACTTTGTATGCTTGATATTGCAGACTATTTGGGAACGAAGATGTTGATCTGCGAACTCTAACTCATCCTAAAGCTGGACGACCGCCGACACCACCTCCACCAGTGATATCCGGTGAAGATGGCAAAGATGGTTGGGCAAAGTTGAAGACACCATCAAAGAACGACAGGGATAAACAAGCCAATAATACCGATGACAAAAGGGATAGTAGAGACCGTAACAGAGACAGATTGGGAAGACTTAGGCTTTACAATAAGCTGCCGGACGATCCTAAAGAGAGAAGAAGAACGTTGTCTAATGAAGATCAAGATAATAGGCCCGGACGAAGAGGTCGAGAGAATGACAAACCGGAGAGAAATGAAGACAGAAATATTGAGATAATAATGAAACAAGCCGCTGAACAGTTGAATCAAGGCTCTATTACTAAAACACAATACAATACCCTGATTCAAGAAGTTTTACATATGAGCGAGGACCGCAAATTGAGAGCTGCGCAACGCAAAGAGAAAGAAGTAGGTTCAATAGTCTGGGAGAAGGGTGTAAATTTGGATATAGCTAGTTCTGGTGATCGTGCATCAACCTTCAGTCCTTCGAGCGATAAAGAAGTGATGAGGAGTAAAGATCATCCGCTTCCACGGAACACGAATGGGCCGAGGTGGCAAACTCAACCATGGCAACAACCAGGACCGTGGGCACATCCACCAGGTCCAGCCTATGGTCCTCAAGGACACTTTAATTCAGACTTTAGACCTGTTGGCCCCTGGCAAAATCCAAGACATTTTGGGCCAATGCGTCCAGATTATCAATACCACGGTGGTTTTAATCATAATCTCGGCCCGAATCCCCGTTTGGGACCTGGAATCATGGGACCTATGGGACCAAACGGACCTCTCATGTCGAATCTTTTACCTAACGGTCCAATCGGTCCGATAGGCATGCCTAATCCGCCCATATCACTGTCAGGCATAAACGGACCCGGCATGATGATGAACAATGGACCAATATCGAATCTTATCTCGAATCCAAGCATAACTTCTTTAGCTACGAGGAACGTATCACCAAGTTCGACTTCGAAGTTCGATCTTGAAGACAGCGATCAAAATTATTCAAGTGCAATGGCGAAGAATTCGAATCCTCACAGCCGCGAATTACCACCGCCGGATCCAAAATTGTTGGATGACATTGCAAGGGATACCATGAAATCTATAAACATCGATAATATACCTCGTGAAATTAGATATTATGGACAGACCGGGGTAGTTTTCATGAACTGGGATGATCCGCGGGAGATTGGATTCCAGGACGGCATAAGACGTATTTTAATCGACGACAAAGACACTGTAACTTGCGCATTTAACGATCAATACAAAGAGTTCATGTACGAAGGCGAAGTTCATAGGTATGCATTCAAATATTCAACCACAGTCTTTCTACTAACATACACCTTTGAGAAATTAAATCATGAGTTTTCTTTAACGTTGTTTTCAGAATTAAATTAGGCGCGCCCACGAGAGAATTGTATGTCGATGACCGCTGGTACGAATGTTATTTCGGTGGTATGCCTATAACGATAGATCTGGGCGGTAAGAAAGTCAGTATCAAACTTGAAGGACCGCCGCCGCAAGTCAAGATTGGTACTGTAAAGAGAACCGCCTTGGTAGTCGCCAAGATTAATCTCATCATTAATGCCAGGAACATGGTGCCCGTCTTTTTGGACTCGAAACCACAAATGTAATATTTTTTTTTTCACCAATTATGCACGTAATTAAAATCAATTTAATTGTAAATGAATTTTAACTAAAAGATCATTGGTTTTTTTTTACAGATTTGAAATCGAAGGAAAGCCTCATACACTTGAATTTATAGACTCGCTGCAAACAGTTCTTTTGAATGGACGTCCGTTCAAAGTTGAGTTCGGAGGACTGCCGAAGCCTATTATTGTTAGGGACAAGAAGCATTTTATAAGATTTTCGGTGTTGCCAAGAGGGGTTCGGCCTGGTTACGTTAAAATAGCCGGCATGCGAGGCGAGGAACCAATCGAATCGCCACCTACGCCGCCTACAGTCTTGGCGCAGAAACCAAAAGTGGATGCAACTACTGCACCAGCACAATTCTCTACCGTCGAACCGGAATCTACCTCGCAGGACGGCTCTGATCTTCGATCTACTCCTAAACCGGGTAAATATTACATTGATAGAGCAATATTTGTTGTTCCTTCGAACGATTTCTTAAGCGTAGCTTCAGTGTACGTTTCATTAGTCTTGTAGCAAAAATTCTCTTCATTTCAGATTTACAGTTGGATATGTTATCTTCGGTTTTACCATCCGCAATGGCGCCAGCGTCTGGTTTGTCTTATCAAGCGGAACCAGCGGAAAATCCACCAGCCGCCGCTCCAGCATTATCGTTACCATTGAATATGAACGAGCTGTTCCAAAGACTGGTTGAAACGGGTATTGTACCAAATCTCACCGAGCAAAAGAAACAAGAAGAGGAAGAAAAGAAGGAACCGGAAATTATGCCTGTCTCGTTCGACAAGCCTGAGACGCTGAAAGTGTAAGCATATTTCTGTAAAGATTGATGTATAGCATTGATTAAGATACGATTTCTTCCGGTTCGATATTTATAGTTTTAATTTTTACACGTATAATTGTACTTTCCGCAGTAAACAACCGGCGATTTCGGCAGCACTATACAGCGGCATGCAGTGTAGCTCTTGCGGTGCTAGATTCGCGCCGGAATTGGCTACCCGGTACAGCCATCATTTGGATTGGCATTTCAGACAAAATAGACGGGAAAGAGATTCAGCCAGGAAAGCTCATTCGCGGCCATGGTATTATGATGTTAGCGACTGGATACAGTTCGAGGAGATTGAAGACTTGGAAGACAGAGGTACAGGGACTTGAAAATTGTATACTTTGGGAATCTTTTGGTACAGGTCAAATATCTAAAGTAATTTTCTTCTTTTAGCACAAAGTTGGTTCGAAACGGAAAAGCAAACTGCGGATACAGAAGGTATTGCAGCAGAAGAGTCCCCGCAGGAAGCATTGCAACCTAGTGTTCCTACTGGATCCGACGAGGATTCCAGATGTCAAGTGTGCCATGATGCATTTGAACAGTTTTACAACGAAGAAAAAGAGGAGTGGCATTTAAGACCAGCGATTAATTTCGAAGGAAAAAATTACCATCCGCTGTGTCTAGAAGACTACAAGGTTGGTAACATTTCTCTTGCGATAGGGCTTACGTTGACAATTCTCCATCATATTTTTGAGTAATTGCGTATGTGTATAAGTTTATTAACGAATTTTCTATTTGTTGCATTCTTACAAAAATAATAGGAAAAGAGTCTTGTGGTATGTGCTTATTAATAATAATTAATATATTGCACTGTTTCTTCACGTATAGATATAGTGGAAGTAATTAGGCACTGGCAAACGTAAAGTAAAGGCTGCAATATATCTTTCAGTTCATCTGTTCCCTTTCCATAGAATTTTTGTTCATAGAGATATACATGTGCTGCTACTCAGTTCTTCCTGTGTTCGTTTTTAACATTTCGAAAACGTGATAAAGATAAAGATGGTTAAATTATTCACATGTATTTTGAAACTTAATCAAGTGCATAGTTCATCGTAATGAAAGCAACCCTAAAATATTGAGAACAACCCATTTCACTGTTTTTGAGCGGCGAATATATCCCACAAGTGACCTACAAACACTATGAACAATCCTGTATACTATACGTTAGTACAATGTAGAGAGTGCAACTTATTTTTCATTCCCGTAATTCCTTGTTGCACGTTTATAGCTCCTAGCAACACACATTTGGATTAAAACGCTATTTACCAAACCGAGGTCTAATATTTTTTTGTTTTTTTTTCTTCCACGTTATCAGAGAGCTTTGGAAAAGTCTGCGCTAGCGCTTGAGGAGACCATCGAAGAAATGGAGGACGAAAAGAAAGAAAGTTCCGATGAAACACTCGCGGAAGAAACTAAGACTGAAGAATCAAATGCAGAAACGATGAATGTCGAAAATGAAACAACAGAAGCACTTGACGAAGCGATAGAAGAGATCGTTCAAGAAGAGTCTTCTGAAGCTATTCATAAAGAAGACGAAGAAGAAGAAGCAGAGGTTGAAGGCACGATGGACATAGAGCAGAACGATAAAGTAGAAGAAGAGCAAGAATCACAAAATAATAACGAGGAATCTGTTGACGCTGAAAACGTGGATAAAGACGTTGTACCGACGACTGAAACAGAAGAATGTCAACCAGAAACTATTGCCAATTCCTTCGAAAATATTAAAATTAAGGAAGAGCCGATCGATGAACCCGAAGAGCAATTGGAAGAAGAGCAATTCGACTATGCAGGAGTTGATTTCAGCAACGTGGAAGTAAAAGAAGAACCTACTGATCCAGAACCAGGTATGTTCGGTATTTTTATTCGATATAATTATAATTTATGAAAATACAATCACAGTCATAGTTGAACGGAAGTTTATTTGTAAATGTTTAATTGTCTCGAATAATTTAAATAGTGCGTCCAAAAAGCATAGGGTGACACTAAAAAAGCTATGTAATTGATTATAATTGGACAATGACTGAACCCGGTTGTAGAATATTGACACAGTAAGCTTCCGTCTCCTCACGGTTTAAAATACATTCTGATGTATTGTTATTATTAAATTTGTATGTTATTGTCATTATTAAATTTGTATAAAACAATTCCATAATTAGATCCAGAAGAGAACATAATTGCTGAGCGTGCATCGGTGGACACAACGTACGCTGCTGTGAAAAGTTCCATAGACGGAAACGTTGAATTAGATTCTACGCCTGCGGCAATTCCAGCGGCACCATCTCGAATAAAAATCAACATTACGAAGCCGTTGTGTATCAACAAAGAGCCGGAAGAATCGAAAGAGAAAGAGAAGCCTGTAGTCGAAACACCCGTTGAAGAAGTAACGGAACCTTTGGTGCCTGCCTCCGTGAAACCTGCTTTGCAAGGTAGAAAATTGTCCAATTTACCACCCGTGGAAAGAGGGCAAGAGTTATCGGGACTCTGCTCGATTATGTAAATAGTACCTGTAATATATTATCCGTACTTGAGATGCGTATGTACGTATGCAAGGCATTTGTGTGGAATATCTTGAAACCGAGTTCTGTGCATAGCGCTACTTACGATTTAAGTATTCACGCGTTATACACCTCGAATTTGTGCAACTTATACGACCTGATGATATGCTGACAGAATATTTTTTTTTATTCTCCTTTTTTTTTTTATTGTTCGATTCATTCTTACGGTGTGAGTGTTTCATATATATATATATATTTGTTTTTCATTCCGACATTTCACATACTTGTCCTTATCATGATTATTTCTACCTTTCGACTGCCAATCACGAATGCAAAAATTAGGCATAATATCCTTATTTCTACATACGTTATGTATCATGTCGTATAAGTTATAATGTGTGTGTAATACAATGCGTTTGTACGTATACGTGTAGGTGTGAACGCACGCGCGTGTGTGTTTAGTCCTTCATTTTTTTAAGTTTTAATTAAGTCGAAAGAAAGCGAATAAGAACTGTACATATTTAATGTAATGGACTCGATTTAATTAGAGCGAGATACACGATGGTCAAAGTAGCATTCCCGAACACGAGAAGTGCAATCGCGTTTCGTGACAGACAGTTGTCGGAAATGCACTATTGATATGCACAAGAGACTATGACTTTCATACCGTTTATACTTTGTAAAAATATTCGAAAGGTACTCAATGCGATTGTTTATTAGAGGTGTAAAATCCCGATTTCATTTCACGAGAACGAAAGCAAGCTCTTGCAAGAAGAACCAACGAGAGAGAGAGAGAGAGAGAGAGCGCGAGTGAGAGTGAGATATTACCCAATTCAGTTAGATGTACAAATTGTGTGATATATGAAATTGTTGATTATGATGTACATAAGAAAAGATCAACATTAAAATAATCGCGACGATATTGGGTAAGGAAGAAAAACAGTTACTATTAGAGGAGGATTATTTTGTTGTATAAAAAGAAATCTTGTTGATTATTCGGGGTCTTGGCTACCTTTGGTTGCTTATTTATAATCCTAAATTTACCTTTCAAAAAAAAATCCCTTAAGATAGTCGTAATTGCTGAAAAAAATACCTTAGAAGTTTAAATTTTTAACTACATGAAACATTTGAACAAATAAACAGAAGGTATTGATAAGAAAGTTATTCTTTAGTTGAGATTTATCTCGATATTCAATAAAACTTATTTTTAGAAAAAAAAACCGTGAGTATGTATTAAAGTTACTGTTTACTCCTTGTCCTTAGTATAGTGAAACTTTGTAACATTGGACGTTTTAGATTACACTGCAATAAATTGAATAAAATTGTGCTTTCTTTACACAACCGAGTGAACATTTCATGTTTCCCTCAAAAGACGAATCATTCATGGAGCTGCTTTTTAAGAATGTAGTTTACTCTTTTTCTAAAATGGTGCTTTATTTTTTTTTACTTAAATAGCGTATAATAGCTATTATGTTCGGGAAGAATCAAGTACGCAGCATTTCTGAAATCTTTATTCATAGATTGCAATTGTGAGGCCATCTGGGAAATGGTAGCGTATCCTTAATATTAGATATGCCCAAAACACATTGCATCAATCTCTCAAACCCCAACCCGAACCCTCCTGTTGGAACATTGCCGTGTTTACGAAGTTCTAAATACCAAGAAAGATCAGATGTTGTAGGTAGTTTTGACTGTAACTTTTTGTAATCGTCTTCACGCAAACTCCCTCCTACTAATTCCCCTACTAGAGGCACTAATAGATCCATAGCGGCAACCTTTAAAGAAAAGTATAATACTCAATGCTTATCAATTAAAAGCATCATTGCTTCTTAGTTCATGTCCCTCACCTTTGAGGCATCGTCTTTACATTCTTTCATGTAAAAAGGCTTACGTTCTTTTGGCCAATTCATAACAAATATAGGGATATTATTGTTCTGCTCTACTAAAAATAATTCCTGTTCTTTGGTAAATGGTTCTCCATATGTAACAGGTATGTTTAATTTCTCATGGTTACTCTCTAATATCTTAACTGCATCGTCGTACGTTATACGTGTAAACTTTTGATTCAACCACATTGGTTCCTGTATACCAAGTACATTCATATCGCACGCTCCTCTTTCAAGTACATCTCTGGTGATATATTTGATTAGTAATTCTACTTCATCCATTAAATCATCAAGACTATCGATAAATGCAATTTCAGCCTCTACCATATAAAACTCGGACAAATGCAATCTTGACTTAGAATTTTCAGCTCTGAAGGTTGGTCCAAAAGTATACACCCTTGTAAGAGCTCTGAAAGAGTTTAGCAATCGATATTCATATATATCTAAAAACTCTAGCGTGTTTGTCTCCTATACAATTGTATTGTTTATTCACCTTGCAACAACTTCTAAATGCAGTTGGCCAGACACGGTTAAAAAAGTTTTAGCATTGAAATAAGTTTCTTCTTCCGAAACACCGTCCCTTTTCATACTTTTTATTATATCTGCAGAATACGGTTTTACTAGAAATAATTCGCCAGCACCTTCACAGTCGTTCGATGTTAAAACTGGAGTATGTACATTAATAAAAGCTCTATCCTTAAAATAGCTTCCAACGCCTTGAGACATTAGATCTCGCAATCGGAGTATACTGGAAAAAGTTTTAGTTCTTGGTCTAAAGTGTAAATATTGTCTAATATATGTATCAACGTATGTTTTCCTTGGAGCAAAAGGATATCCATCCATAACATCGCATTCACCGATTACTGTAACATTGCTGGCGTGCAATTCGCTACTACCATTTGGAGCCAATACCAATTCTCCTTCCGCTGTGACGCTACAGCCATAACTTATCTTAGCCAGTTTGTCTGATTTCGGAATAACGACTTGCAACACGTTCGGTGTTAATCCATCGGAAACGTCCATAAATATTATACCTTTCATTTTTCTGACTGATCGAACCCAACCCTACATTAACGAACGATTCAATGACCAACAACCTCGAGTATGATTCGATTATAAACGATAGATAGTAAATTCAAATTGAAGTTCACGCTTTTTCAAAGGAATTTGGGAATGTATAGAGGATGTACGAAGTAAGTTGTTATCATGATACCGAAAAGTAATGGAGCACCGCTAACCTGTACTTTCATATGCTTTCCAAGTGCTTCTTTGGAAGGAACATTGGATATCTGCGACATATTATAAACATTACACTTAAAGGAATCAAGATTTCTGAGCAGTAACCTTCCAATGTAATTCGAAATCATCGTGAATAAAACGCTGGTCGTGATATTACGGAGCCTGCACAATTAATTACACATTGTATTACAAAATGGAGTCCTCGTGCGAAGGCTTCATGTACGTAAGCATGTGTACATACATACGTATACATATATGTAGGATAGTACATATGTATGTACATATTATGGTGAAGCAGAATTGCTTACTATGCCGAGGCACATGATTGTACGTGGACAGAGTTTGACATCCCACATGCTATTGCTGCCGTAAATTTTCAGACCATAACAAAACATGTGTATTAACAAAAATTAGAATTTTTCTTTGATCCTTTCTATAAAAAAACTGTCTAGTCAATAGAAAATAGTGTTTCCCTCATCCTAATTTCTGTAAAGTGACATGTTCGAACATAGAAATTTTCGTAGAGATCCATAGGCTGTGCATGACTTACTTACCACTGTGCGTAAGAACGCCATTTTTATATTTTGATAATAAATGCATTTGTAATAATAAATAAACTTCTGTTGCTTGAAATGGATTCGATAAATCCCCCCGATACTATCTGTACCCTCAGACTATTTCTTCAGCCCCTCGATTCCTACAATTTAATCTATTTTTCATGTACGTATAAATTCTTATTGTGGGGGTGGTTTAGATCGGGCGTTTTAAAATAAAGAGTATAGAAGCGTGATCTAATTAATATTATGTATGTAACAATCTCGATGCTGTCTCGGTCCCGAGATTTCATAAATGGCGCTCCGGATCTGATTTATAAGATAATGCATACATAGATAATGTATATAAATACATAATATCCTCCTTGGCGGAGTGGCGTACCGAAGTCCGCGATTTGAAGTGGTTGGAGTTGAATGCACTGTCATCGAAATACCGAATTTGAGAACTCGTGTCGTGAACGAATTATTAATGATAGATCACAATGAAGTTCCAATATATTTTGCTTCTAATATTTGTAATGTTATGTCGATCTTCTTCATTGAAATTTTTATCACATAAATTTTACGGCAGTTTTAACAAGGAATTACAGAATGCCAATTACAAATATCAGATCAAAACGATCCATATGCCGGTATGTATTCGTAACTTGGATTATTAACATTTAATTTTTCTGTACAATGAATTTGAATAATTTCCTAATTTGCATTGTTTAGATACTAATTCGTGCATTTATTTTATGTACGTTGTTGAAAGACAAATTAAATAAATAAGTGTGTTGTAGGTGGATCACTTCAGCTTTTCTGTTGAAGACACATTCAAATTAAGGTACCTTATAAATGATACTTGGCAAGGAGAAAATAACCCACCAATTTTCTTTTATACTGGCAATGAGGGTGACATTGAAGCCTTTGCTCAAAATACAGTAAGGCTGAGTTGTACAATTGGAATTTTTAATATATTAGTCGATTTCATAATATAAATATTTTAATTCGTTATATTCGTCTTTTCAATGTTATTGTTATACATTTTTTATGATTTCCTTACCTTATATGTTATATCGAATATTTTGGCAGGGATTTATGTGGGAAATCGCACCAGAATTTGGAGCATTATTAGTTTTCGCTGAACATCGTTACTATGGAGAATCTATGCCGTACGGCAATAAATCTTATAATGATTCTAAACATTTGGGGTACTTGACATCCGAGCAGGCTTTAGCAGATTACATTGATCTTATTCAAGACTTAAAATCCACATTGAAGTATAAAGACAGTCCAGTAATTGTTTTTGGTGGTTCGTACGGTGGCATGCTTAGTGCATGGATTCGTATAAAATATCCTCATATTGTACAAGGGTCGGTAATTAAAGCGACTTAGAGTAATAATAACATATTCACATTTCATGTTGTTTGCATAGTTGATGATGTTTCAGGGCAATCGCAGCTTCAGCTCCGATCCTTCAGTTTACCGGTGTTGTAGAATGTGAATCTTTTTCACGAATAGTCAAATCAGATTTTATGATGGCTCATCCAAATTGCTCGACAAACATTGAAAAATCATGGAGTGCAATTAACAATGTAACATCAAATGGTAATAAATTAATATTCCTTTCTGTATCATGCTTAATATAGGCTGTTCAGCAACAGATATATAACGAAAATCAAAAGTGAAGAATTGTTTTCAACTATATTTTTAAGTTGTTGATAATTAAAATCTGCCAGTATTTTTGCCTTATGGAGAATTATCCCTTAAATTACTTGTAACTTTCTTCGATAGATAAAGGGAAAAAGTGGTTATCAGACAATTGGAAACTTTGTGAACCATTGAAGAATGATTCTCAAGTGAAACAACTAAAAGATTATCTGCAAGAAGCATATATAGATCTTGCAATGGTGAATTATCCTTATGCGGCTAATTTTTTAGTACCTTTACCTGCTTATCCAGTAAAGGTGGGTATACAAATTCTTATCAATTTCATAAAAATTGACTTATACTCAACTTTCTTGTTTTATAACTCAAACATTTTATTTATGTTATAGGCTGCATGCAAGCATTTAACAAATGAATTACTAACAGAGACAGACTTACTGTTAGCCATATATCAAGCAGTCAATCTGTATAGTAATTACACGGGTGGAGTAAAGTGCTTAGATATAAATGATTCTACTCTGTATTCAAATTTAGGAGCTATTGGTTGGCCTTATCAGGCCTGTACAGAAATGGTAATGCCCACTTGTGCTGACGGAATAAATGATATGTTTGAACGTGAAGAATGGAATTTTGAAGCATACACAAAGGAGTGCGAGGAGCAATTCTCTGTAAAACCACAGGCAGATAGAATTTGTAAACAATACGGATGTACAGATTTGTCTGCAGCAACAAATATTGTTTTTAGGTATATATATTATGTTATTATTACATCGTTATGTATAGGAGAAAATATTTCAGAAAAATTTAGAAATACTTTTCATAAAATTGTGTTGGATTACTATGTTCATTTAGTAATGGCCTATTGGACCCATGGAGTAGTGGTGGAGTACTAAAGAATTTATCTTCATCAGCTATTGCAATACTAATTCCTGAAGGAGCACATCATCTTGATTTAAGAGGCAGTAATGAAAATGATCCATACAGTGTTATTTTAGCACGCAAATATCATCGTTACTTTATTAGACAGTGGATTAAAGAGTATACTAAATGAAAAGAAAATAAAGTTAATTAAATCCTTGTTGTTTTTGAAGTTAATATGGATTTTTGATACAATATATTACAAATAAATTTTCAAATAAGATAAACACGTTATAATAATTCATGTTTATTGCATAAATTATATATATATATAAAAAAAAGCATAACATGCACACAATAATGATTACAAGTATTCAACTATTTTGATTATTTTAAATAACCGATGAAATGAATTAAAAATAATACAAGCATTTTATTATCACAGTAATTAAAGCCTGCACGTGCTGCGATACATAATTTAAGGTGTAGGCAGATAAAACTGTAGAATATTTTTATTACTCAGAATAATTGAAATATATTTAAGCTACTATTTTTATTTACGCAATACGACGTGGTG